CATCTGCAAGTCTGATGAGTTCCCCTTCTATCCCCTCATCTAGATCATTGATGCAGATGCGGAAGAGTACTGGGCCTAAGACGCAACCTTACGGTATCCCACTACATGTCTCCATTTAGATATAGTTCCATTGAGGACTACTTGTTGAGTGTGGTTGCTCAGTCAATCACAAATCCGTCTGGTTGTGACATTGTTTATCACAAATCTTACCAAGAAGTAAGCCTTGGTCTACTTTGTCAAATGCCTTACTGGAGTCTAAGTAAACTGTATTACAGTATTCTCTGATCCACTAATTTAGTCATTTTATCAAAAAAATGCTATAAGGTTTGTCTGGTGTGATCTGTTTTTGACAAACTCAATTGGTTTCTACTAATATAGGGGTGTCAAACTGCTGGCCCGCGGGCCGGATGCGTCATGCCGAAACCGCACCCACCCCATTGCCAGCAATGGAAAAAAAAGTTGTGATACGTCGCGACACGTCACGTGATGTTGCGAGTTTGATACCCCCTGAACTAATAGTTTTGCTTGTTTCAAGGTGTTGCTTGATCTGTTGCTTGATTATCTTTTCCAGGATCTTCTTAGTTATTGATGTGAGGCTGATTGTTCTGTAGTTTCCTGGATCCACATTTTTCTCCTTCTTGCAGATTGGAACCACACTAGCTCTTTCCCAGTCCTCTAGTGGTTCCCCAGTGCTCCAGGATCTTTGAATGATATGGTTCAAATGAACACATTAAAGTCTAAAGTAGGATAATACTGCAGGCTTTATAGTTATTTGTCACTTTATAAGAAGATCAGGAAGTCTTGAATGACAAATGAAATAAGTAAAACCTTATTTAAAATAGTGAGAAACCTGCAGTGCATGATCTGAAATTTAAAGTTCAGTCCTTGAAGATAAAATGAAGAAAATAACAGCTAGTTGTGCTGTTACGCAGAAAGAGCTAAATGTTTACTTTGGAATCATTTTGCTTTTGCATGTCATGAAAGAACTGAAAATTATTTTAAGCTGTAGTTATTTATGAATTTTTTACTTGTAGAGTGTGGCTGTTATGGAAATTTTTGTCTCGCACACTAAAATAATTTGGCTCATTTTTTATGACAGTTATGCATTTTGACTTGGGAATGCCATTTGCTGTTCTGTCTTAGGTACAAATTGATTGTAACTAGGCCCTGAGGACAAGACCTGTTTTAAAAAAACCATGTGGGCCACTGAATAGTGTTTCTCTTCTTTTTGTAATGTCTTTAAATATAAATATCAAATAACAAAACCAAACCCTTTGAACTCAGTCAACTTTTATGTTTACTCCAAGTATACTGTATAATGAGGAAAACTGAAACTGTACATATAGCAAAGAATGGGAATCCAGAAAAATGGGTCTTTTATGTAGAGGTACTCCTTGACTTATGATGGCAATTGGGACCAGAATTTCTGTCGGTAGGTAATGTAGTTATAAAATACAACTGCATCATTTAGTGACAGCAATCCCTTCAGCTCTGGTTGCCTTTGTTAACAAATCCCATAGTAGAATAGAATAGAGCTGGAAAGGACCTTGAAGGTCTTCTAGTCCAGCCCACTGCTCAAACAGGAGAACCTATACCATTTCAGACAAGTGGCTGTCTAGTCTCTTCTTAAAAATCTCCAGTGATGGAGTGCCCACGATTTCTGGAGGCAAGCTGTTCCACTGGTTAATTGTCCTCACTGTCAGGAAGTTTCTCCTTAATTCCAGGTTGCTTCTCTCTTTGGCCAATTCCTAACCACGGCTTCTTGTCCTGCCTTCTGGTGCTTTGGTGAATAGTTTGTGCTCTCTTCTTTGTGGCAGTCCCTCAATTACTGGAAAACTGCTATCATGTCACCCCTGTTTCTTTTCTTTAGACTAGCCAGACCCAAGTCCTGCAGCTGTTCTTCATATGTTTTATCTCCAGGCCTTGGATCATTTTAGTTGCTCTTCTCTGAACTTTTTCCAAAGTCTCAACATCTTCTTTTGTTGTACGGTGACCAAAATTGGCTGCAGTATTCCAGGTGTGGTCTTACTATTGCTTTATAAAGCAGTACTAATACTTTGCGTGATCTTGATTTTATACCTCTGTTTATACAACCCAGGATTGTATTAGCTTTTTTGGTTGCTGCTGCACACTGCTGGCTCATAGTGAAGTGATCGTCTACTAGGACTCTAAGGTCCCTCTCACAGTTACTGTTTTTGAGCCAGGTCTCGCCTAATCTGTACTTGTACTTTTGATTTTTCCTGCCTAAAAGTGAAACTTTGCTTTTCTCCACATTAAAATTCATTTTGTTGGATAGGGTCATTAGGTGAGACAACTTCCTGCTGGCTTCCTATATCCAGGTCAATGGGGAAGCCAGCAGGAAATTGTAAGTCCCAGGTGCTTTCAAATAAAGTGTCTGCTGCCAGGTAGGGGAAGGCAGATGGGGGTGCACAGAACTGTGAGAGAGGTGCAGCAAAAGTTGGGGAAGGTACAGAAAGGTGCAAGCGAGGCATAGTAGGGTTAAGGGAGGATGCAATAGGCCATGTGAGAGTTCTGGGGCTAGTCATAACCACCATTCATTCAGTGCTGTCAAGGACTATCTGAATGTAGAAGCTGCAGATTGATATAAAACCTATAATCATAGGACTGGAACGGACCTTAGAAGTCTTCTAGTCCAACCCCCTGCTCAAGGCTGAACACTTTTATACCATCCCAGTTAATTTTTTGTCCAGTCTGTTTTTGAAAACCACTAGTGATGGAGCACCTACGACTCTGGAGGTCAAACACAAGGCCCGGGGGCCAGATGCGGCCCGCGAAGTGGTTTCATGTGGCCCGCGAAGCCATCCTGGAAACAGTGAGGGAACAGCCCCCATTGCCTTGGCCCTGGCCTAGGCCAGCTGGGAGCCAATGTACAATTTTGTGGTGTCCATCTATGCTGAAACATATTCGGTCTTAGCTCCACAAGGCTGTCTGGAAACATCGAGGAACCAGCCCATGCTGCGTTGGCCCCACCCCCTGGGAGCATGCTGGGGAGGTGTCACCCTTTGTGAAGAATGAAGAAATGCACCATTGCTTGGAAGTGGCCAGCAAATGGCCCTCACCTACTTCACATATCTGGCTTGATTGGCTCCGGTGTGAAGGGTTTCGGCAGGCAGCGGGGCGCTCTCCTCACAGCGCCAAGAGGCTGAGTTGGGCGGTGCGAATCCAAAAAGAAGCACGACACCGCCCAGCCCCCAGCATCCCGGTTTCGGCAGGCAGCAGGGAGCTCTCCTCACAGCGCCAAGAGCTGAGCTGGGTGGCGCGAATGTGATGAGAAGTGCAATGCTGTCTAGCCTCCAGCCTGCCCAGTTTCAGCAGGGAGCAAGGTGCAAAGCTGGTGAGCTTCGCACCTCCTGGCTCAACCTCTCGGCGCTGTGACGAAAGTGCCCCGCTGCCTGCCGAGACCGGGCAGGCTGAGGGTTGGGCGTTGTCGTGCTTGTTTTTGGATTCACACCACCCGGCTCAGCCTCTTGGTGCTGTGAGAGTGCCCCGCTGTCTGCCAAGACCGGGCAGGCTGGGGGCTGGGCGGCATTGTGCTTCTTTTCAGATTCGCGCCACCTGGCTCAGCCTCTCGGCGCTGTGAGGAGAGTGCCTCACTGCCTGCCGAAACTGGGCTGGCTGGGGGCTGGACGGCACTGTGCAGATAACGTTGACTCTCACGCTGCTCATGGCATCCCTTCCCCCAGAGCCCACCAAGTCAGATATATGAAGTTGGTGAGGGCCATGTGCTGGCCACTTCCAGGCGATGGTGCATTTCTTCATTCCTTACAAAGGGCAACACCTCCTCAGTTGCGTTTCTTGCCTCTTTTTCTCCCTCCCTCATCTCAAATATTTTCCTACCACTCTGTACTTAGGAAGGAAGGAAGGAAAGAAGGAAAGGAAGGGTCTGAGGGAAGTCCTGCCTTAGTCCTGCCCTGCTGTCCTTTCACCATCCCCTTGCCCCCTCCTCCTGGCCTATCCTGAGGGTCTCCCATCCTATTGCTAAGGAAGCTTTGGATACAAAGCCGGGTCTCCCCATGGAGAGGGAATGGGCCTCCCTCTGACTTTGCCCTCGTACACATCATGAGCAGCCTGGCTAAGGAGAGCAAGCACAGCAGCAGCAGCCTTGAGGAGGTAAGTGCAGCTGGGCGCCCCCTTGGGGAAGTAGGGCTGGGCTTGGTGCCGCAGGTGCTCAAGGGCCAGGCTGGGCGTTTGACCTCTGCTGCCCAGGGCTCCGGGCAGCCCGCGCCACCATCCAGCCCCCCCCCACATGGCCTGAGAGGAACAGTGAGGCTCCTCCAGTGGACCATGCCTTGGCACTTGCCCTGGACCCACTCCCTTCTGCCAGAGATCCTCAGATCTGTCCCACTCCTGCCCAGGCCCCCACAGGCACCCTTTACGCGAATGATGTAGAGCTGGCCATGCCCATTCAGTAGGCCACACCCACTTCATCCACGCCCACCCAGTAGGCTGCACCCACCCTGGCCACACCCACATGGCCCCCGAGGGCAACTGCAATGCTGATGCGGCCCTCAATGAAATTGAGTTTGACACCCTTGGCTTAACAGCTTAACAGAAAAAAAATTCCTTTTAGGTTGGATCTCTCTTTATAAAGCTTCCACCCATTACTTCTAGTCCTGCCCTCAGGTGCTTTGATAAATAAGGCAACCCCCTCCTCCTTGTGACAGCCCCTCAGGTATTGGAAGACAGTCCCCTCTAATCCATCTCTTTGATAGGCTAGACATAGTTAGCTCTCTCAAATGCTCATCATATGGCTTAGCCTCCAAACCCTTTATCATCTTGCTCTTCTCTGCACACTTTGTAGGGTCTCTTTTTGTATGTAAAATGACTTAGGGGATTATTTCCAAGATATTAGTACCAAGCAGAAAAAAGTATAGTGGTTTAACCTGTTTCTGGAAACCTATCTTTGGGTGGGACCATTAATTAGTTTGAAAATGTTGAATTAGATATTTGATGATTGATTATCTTCTCCTCCTCCTCAGGTATTATTGTAATGTATGTGACTGTGTAGTGAAAGATTCCATCAACTTCCTTGATCATATCAATGGCAAAAAACGTATGTATAACATGTTTTTCATTTACTAATTTGATATTATTATTGTTGTTGTTGTTGTTGTTATTATTATTATTGATTTAACCTTCAATTCAATTCACAGTCTGGGGCCTGGTAAAAACTTAACAGTTCAAGTCCTAACCAAGGACTTAAGAGCTGTTAAAGTAGCGTCTCAGTATATAGGCAGTTTCGAGTAGAGTGGGTTTTTGCAAAGTTGAGATATTCAGGTCTAACAAGTTCAAAATTTCCAAGTGTCTAGGGATTCCTTTGGGTATTGCCCCAAGAGCTTTTATTACTATTGGTACAACCATTGATTTCTTTATTATTGTTGTTGTTGTTAATCTTCAATTTGATTCTGGGACTGGGACTGATAAAAATGTAACAGTTCAAATCCTAACCAAGCACCTAAGCGCTATTAAGGTAGCATCTGGGACTGATAAAAATGTAACAGTTCAAATCCTAACCAAGCACCTAAGCTCTATTAAGGTAGCATCTGATTAATATTAATACTATTGATGGTCACAATGTAAGCCAGATGTTTAGACTGGATTTGACATTTTTATACACCCAGGATTTAGGGTAGATGTTGTTGGATGGTGTTAAAGGTATTGTAGCAAAATGTAAACTGTTCCAAGTAAAGCTGTCTTTTGCAATTGACTGATTAGTCGGTGCTGATGATATTCAAGTGCTACTTCATATGTTTTGGAATTGTACCCAAGGTGACTATTACTATTGGTACTATATTTATTATTATAATTATAATAACATAATAATAAAGTTGTCATTATTATTTAAACATGTATGCAGCCCAGTTCTAAATGATTCAAAGCAGCTCACAACAATAAAAGAAATTATAGTGATTTCCAGCCTGGCTGTAGATCTTTGGCCTTAGTCAATAGATAGCCATCATTTTGTTTGATTGTAAAGTAGCCATGGATGCCAGTGTCTATTCTGTGGGACATAATAGACTTACTAATCTATCTTATACAAAAACAATCCACTGGTTCATCCTGCCCCATTATTGTTTTTCTTGATTCTCAGCGGTTATTAAAGATCTGAGAGACTCCAGTGACTTCTATATGCAATTCATGTATTCCTCTGTTAAGCTAATGGATCTTGGAGTATGGCCTGCAGACCACCAAGTTCCAAGAGGTGATCCTCTACAGCTTCCTTATGTCCACCAGTCAAAGATTGATCACTGCCTAAGCCCCACCTCTCTGGCCATGTCAACAGTCTGCTGATGAGAGAGAGGCAGTCTCCATCTCAGCTTCCTCCTTATGCATGTCAGCTGGCAAGAACCCATTATTATCTTAATATCTCACAGAGCATGACGGATCAGTGGCTGAAAATGAATTAATAAAACATATAGTAGCATTGTTTAGAAAGCCACAGAGATGACTTGGGAGAAACTACACAGAAAGGATTTCAATAACATGTACACAAACATGCTATATGTATGGGAAACAAAGATAACACAAGCAATTTCAGATTGGTTCCGTCCCAATTTCCTGGAGTATAAGAGGGAAGGAAAAGGAAATGCTTTCAAGATTCTGTTACTATAGCCTATATCAATAAAGTAATTTTAGTCAAATTTAGAAAATTTGCTTTCTTGACTGGTTTATCTTAAAAGACTGACATATCATAAATATTAAAATGTGAGAAAAATGATAAGTGAACAAATTTCAAGTGCAGTTACCATCTGAGTCTATATATGCTGTGTTGCGGTTTTTCACAAGCACCCTCCCAAAAGAAGATGTGACTAGGAAATATAGTGATAGTTATCTAAAAATGGGATTTTATTTGCCCTTAGATCCTTAGTACTTTGAGAGTTCTGTTGCAGAATATTCTGAACTAACAAATGTATGTTAAATGTTATGATATGGCATACGTGAAATCATTTAAGTGAAAAATAAGTGTTTTTCTGGATTATTGATACAAAATCTTAAAAGGACTTTAAAAATGGAGAAGATAGGAAGGCTTAACTAAATGCAACAAAAATAATTATCTTTGTGAACTCCCTTGCTCAGATGAAAATGTAAGGAGTGGTTTGTTTGTTTGCTTGATTGGATGGCATCCAAATTTTTGGAATGTTTATATAGTGTTCAACAATTGTGGAAGCTGAAGAGCAGTGCATTAAATTAACATTTGTTGCTGCTTTCTATGTCAGATATAGTTCATGATTTAGGTTTTAACATATAGAATTCCTTGCAACTATTTAGTAAGCAAGCAGTTGATTTTACTCCTCCAATTTTGCCATTCTAAGGGTTTTTCCATATACCTAAGAAAACACATTTTTTTACTCCAACAGATAGAAATGTATTCTATTCTGCTGCTTCCGTATTATTTAGTGGCCCAACAAAAAAAAGGCACAATAGTTTTAAGTTTTTAGTCTTGATTGATTGAAAAAGGAGCATCCTTTTTATTATATAATGTACAGGTGACCTTTTTCAATATTGAGGCATTTATTAACTACTTGAAATTTGAATGTGCTGATCATTTGTTTAACAATCATTTGAAATTAAGTGACTCATAATCAGTCCTTGCACTTATAATTGTTGCAGCATCCTCAATATCACATAATTGAAATTTGGGTACTTGGGAACCAGCATACATTTACAACTGTTTCCACATTCTGGTGTCATATAATGCCATTTTCAATCTTCCTAGGGGTCATCCAATGAGCAAAGCCAATGGGGGAAACCAGATTCATTTAATAACCATGTGATTTGTTTAACAATTGTGGCAAAAAAAGGTTGAAAAACTGGTGCAATTCACTTATTGTTTGCATCACTTAGCAATGGAAGTTCTACCCTCAGTTGTGGTTGTAAGCTGAGGACTACCTGTAGTCCTTTGCCAGTACATCCTGGAATCCTAAAATCCTACAATCTTACAGGTAATACTTAAAGGGCTTGATATAAAACAGTGGTTCTCAACCTTTTTAATGCCGCGACCCCAACCAGTCGTAAGTCGAGGACTACTCAACCGGTCGTAAGTCGAGGATTACTCAACTGGTGCAGCACCGTTTGCAGAATGGGACTTTTGACGGGCTCAGCAGGGCAGAGACGGCCTGGACAATTCCTATTGGCTTTTGAAAGCCAATAGAATTAGACTCTATTCAAGAGAGTCTATTCTATTGGCTTTCAAAAGCCAATAGAATAAAAGGGAGTAGCACAGCTAAGGAAAAGGGGGAAAAAATGGCAGACTGCATTGTTTGGCGACCCCTGTGAAATGGTCGTTCGACCCCAAATGGGGTCCTGACCCACAAGTTGAGAACCACTGATATAAAATGTTCTCTTTTTCATCCATTCTTTCCCCTAAACCCACTTTCAGACTTTAATTTTAGGATGTCTGCACATGAACATCAAATGGGAAAAGGCCATAGAGAGGCTTCCTCTGTATACTATATCTTTATCTACTATGCATCACTCTCCAAGTTTCTCCTGTAAGATGATGCTGTAGAGAGAGCAGGCCTCTGTCTATCTATCATGAGCCATTCCACACAAATTGTTTGAGAGGCAAACTCCATCTGTTGTGGAGAATGATCTCTAGTTTTTTTCTGTAGTAATAGTCTCTGACCAATATATCATGGACTACGTGAGCTCCTCCGCTCTTGCACCAGAACTTCCCATTCAATTTCTTTTCCAGCTTCCTCCCCATACACTACACAACAGATCTTCAGTGAAAGTTTTTCTGACCCATCCCGCAGGTATTAGGAGAGGTGAGTGAGAAGAACCTTGTTTGAGCCCCTGGATTGTTTCCTCTGCTCACCAATTGCTCAATCTCCCATGAGAAAGAACAAGAGAGAAGGACAGATCAAGAATCTGCTTCGGTTACCTATCTGCTGCTCACCATTAGGTCAATTGACATAATTTAGTGATTTTTGTCGTCGTATGTTTCATTGTAATTTCAATTGACTCCTTTAAGATAGAATATTAATAAACATAGTACATTTCCAAGTAATGCTGTTTTCTTTTTTCACATTCTTACGTGCCTGACTTTACCACTGGTTTTTGCCTTAATAAATCTTAAATGTCAGGATGTTTTGCTTTTGAATTATTCAATACTGTGCCTTTATAAACTCATTCTGCTGTTTAATAATTGCACATTTACTTGCAATAAATGTAGAGAATTGTGAATGGTAAAGATGGAAAGCCCCCGTAAGTAAAGAGAAAGCAAGCACAATATTATATCCATATGTTTATGTTAGCTAGATTTCTCTACAATTACTGATTAAAAGCTGATTTTGGGGTAGAAATTTAATCCAACTTTTCTGTCAATACAGAAGCCACAGCACAAACAAAAGAGAAAGAACCCTGATTGCATTTCATACCATGGAGAACATAGAAATATATTAGCTGACAGAAATAGATGAGATGTAATAATAGCCCTGCTGGCTTAGGCCAAGAATCAACATACTCTATCACACATTCATCCATCTGATTCTTTCAGAAACTTCACAATCATGGCTGAGATAGTTCTTTTCACTGCTCTTCCTGAGTAGTTGGTATTTAAGCCATCCTGTCCACAGTTTCAAAACTAGAAAGCTGCCTCAAGACCATTGATAATTTGTTCCTCCATAGACATTTGTCTGGCCCCCTTTTAAAACCATTTAAATAGCTAACCATCATATTTATTATCAGCAAATTCTAAACCTGAACTATACATTGCGTAAAAAAAATATTTCCTTTATGATCTTGAGCCTCTCTGTATTTAATTTTAATGGAAGGCTGCCATTATAAAAGGGAAAGAACAGTATCTATGTCTTCACTTTCCACCCATATATGGTTCTATATATCCTTGCCCTATTTCCTCTTGTTCCCTCTTCCCAAAGAACTAAAAAAAAATAAAAATCCAAAAGTTATAGTCTGTACCTCAGCCTCCTACAAGGGGCAAGATTGGAATTCTCATACATCATTTCCAAGAAACTCTTTGGGTTTGCACATACTGGCCCTGCATTCCTGCCTCGGTGTAACGAATTGGTAGCTACTGGTACTATCTTAGAG